CCGGTCTGATACGGGCGCGACACTGAGGGTTGCGATCCGTTGCCGGACACGAAAAAAGACAAAAAGGAAAAAAAAAAAAAAAGAGTCTCCTCTGCAGTGCACGCCCTTCTGAGCAGCCCATTCACATTTCTCTTCTCCAAACCTTCTGTCACCAACTGCCAACCTTGTTTTTCCAAGTCCATAGTCATTCAGCCAAATCATCAACAACGTCCTATGAATGAATGTAGATCCTTTCTTCCAGCCATCTCTCAGCCTCATCGGAAAGAACCATCCGCTGGGCAGCTCAAGGTTCTGCGCACTTGGAGGATTTTCCTTTGCCTCTGTCCTTCAGAGCCACCAGCCATAAGCCAGTCAACTGGTCCTACTGAAAATTCCAGAAAGCCATAGGCAGGGACTGAGAGAGAGGAGGCTGTGTCTCCCAGTTGGTGTCAAAGGAATCGTAGCCGCTTGCTCGTGCAACTGTTGGTGCCTCTGAAAGCAGCTGAGCTGTCTGTCACCCTGTTTCCACTGGATGAGGTGCTGCTGCCCAGCCCGTGGCTTGATGGGTCGGAAAGCTCGGGTCATGTGGTCTCTGCAGTCCTCAGAGTTCAGTCTCCCCCAGGCCCTCAAAACAAGTCAAGTGTATTTCTCAGAAGGAGAAGAAGGCACGAATTTTTCTACAAAACCCTAGAGGTCCACACGGTGATTACTCCACTGGTGCTTGCCAGAGGCTCCACCGGATCCCACCCTTTTCCACAAGACACCTTCCTTGAGTATTACCAGATCCGCTGGGTCACAACGGCAGAGCCGCTTGCCCTGCAGCCTGACTTGCTGCAGAGTTATCCCTCGCCCTGGTCCCCATGCAAAGCCGGCAGCCTCATGAGAGGCGCAGTGAATGGGCCAACATGGCGGCCTCCTATGTGATGTAGATTCCAAAGCCCAGAAACGTCCACCAAGCGCGGTTTTCAGAGGCAGGCGGTACAAGGTGCAGGACGCTGTCTTGCAACTTGAAGAGGATATTTTGACACGCTTTAGAGCACTGACCTTCCAGAAACTTCACTGAGGTTTGATACCCCTATACTTTCACAGGGTGTATCTCCCGCCCTCCGGTTTGCATATGCCTCAGTAAGGCACCTAAAGTGCTTTTCACTTCTTGCTCATCGGATCCGATCGGGACGATGTCATCAGTGTAGGGGAGCGGTGCGATGCTGTAAGGAATGTCAAGACAATCAAAATCTCCAAGTACTGTGGCCTGTCGGCGAGGAGAGCCGACAGCCGAGGCAAGACTGTGAAGGTGTGCTGCTGGCCCTGCCAGGGGGAACAAGCGAGCTCTGGTGGCCTTTGCAAATTGGTATGGAGTGAAAGTACTTGACAGGGCAGTAACTGCATACTCAGTTCCGGAGGCCATGATGCCTTGCTTCGGTGAACAGACTACATCTGCAAGTGCAGCTATGATTGGAATCACTGCCTGATTAAGTTTACATTAATCCGCGGTCACTCTCTAACAGCCATCCACCTTCCGCACAGGGCCTAATAGACGACAGGGCATATGAGAGATATCACACCTGCAACTTTCAAGTTCGAGGCATTTGTCTCTGCAACTCCGCTAAGAATTAGAACTGTGGGTTTGTTCCTCTACATCAGGCCAGGGTTGTTCCAGCATCTCGATATCACTGAATTTAGGATACAATTGAGTTCAAGTTTAAGTCAACCAACCAAGTAGACTGTTTGTTAGAGTTGAATTCCCAGCCTTGCCACATGCCTCATGTGAAATGTTGGCCAATCCCCAAACCCCATTTTTCAGAATATGATTCCTAACACCACCCCAGGTACCTACTTCTTTATCAGTCTGGATCCAATCAAGAAGCAGGAGCGCTGACAACCCCTTCCCTAGTGCTTGTAGAGAGAGCACGACCTTGCCAACATCCTGATGCCAACATCCTGATGCCAACATCCTGACCTGGGGTTTCTGGCCTCCATAACTGGGGGAGGATCCACTTGCGCTGTTAAAGCTCCTCACTTGGTGCTACTTTGTTATGTCACCTCTAGCAAACTGATAGACCCCCAAGGCTGGGGAGCAAAGGGAAAGTGTAGAGGAGGGGCCCCCAGAGCCAAAGCTCAGTCTCTGGGATGGGGGTGCTGGGGTCACTGAGCTCAGGAGAGGGACCGGCGAGGCTGGGACCCAGGCCTGTTCGGACAGCTGGCTGGTGCTGGAGTCTTGACCCAGAGGATTGCCTCGTGCTCAGACCTCTGAGCAGGGGGTACCAGGTGCCTGGTGTTGGTGTCTCACAGGTGCATTGCAATGAAGCGGGCTTTGCAAGTGTTGGAAAATCGGAACATTGGATTCAGCTGGTGCCATGGAAATGCGCTGCTTGCTGCTAGGGTGAAGGAGCCTTGCCAGAGTGGCAGTTACAGGAGGGAGCAAGCCCCTTCTTCCCTTCTAGCCCCGGAACATCCCCAGCTGGCAGTGTCTAAGAGGGAGACAGGGGCAAAGTATGAACATCCCTGGTCTGGTGTCACCAAGAAGAAGACAGCAGGGCTTGCCAGTTAACTCAGTTGGTTAGAGCACGGTGTTTTAACACCAACGTCAAGGGTTCGGATCCCCGTACTGGCCAGTCACCAAAAACATGAAAAGAAGAGGACAGCCAAGTGAGTTGGCACATCTATTCTACAAGCCAGCAGTTCTCCTCCTAGGGCACAGATCCCGAGAAATGATTGCATATGTCCACTTTATCCATGATGGCTAAAACTGGCAACACCCCACATGTCCACCCACGGGAGAATGGAGAAGTGCCTTGTGGTGCACTGTGCAATGGTCAGCACTCAGGAACACACAGGAGGGAACAGCGGACACAGACGGTGGCATGGGTGAGTCTCACAGACAAGGGGACACGACAAAGCCGGGGCTGAGGGGAGGGCACCGCGGCCTGGTGGCACAGTGGGTGCCTGCACGGATACGCGGGTAAAAGAGCCAGTGCGCGCTTTACTGCATGCACACTTACCCTCAACAGAGACATGTCTAGCAACTTTTTTTTGTTGTTAGAGATGACTGGTAAGGGGATCTTAACCCTTGACTTGGTGTTGTCAGCACCACGCTCTCCAAGTGACCGAACCGGCCATCCCTATATAGGATCCGAACCTATGGCCTTGGTGTTATCAGCACCGCACTCTCCCAAGTGAGCCACAGGCCGGCCCTGTCTAGCGGCTTTTTAGGGCAGTGATACTACTCTGTATGACACTGTAGTGGTGGATTCAGGCCATTAGACATTTGTCCAAACCCATAGAATGCGCAATATTGGGTATGTCAACTGTGGACTTCAGTCAACAGCAGTGTCTCCCTGCTGGCTCAGTTGTAACAAATGTGCCACACCCACGCGAGACGTTAACAAAAGGGGGACTCGGGGTGCAGTGAGGGGTGTATTAAAACTCTCTACTTTCTGCTCAAAGTCTATTAATTTTTAAAAATCTGGTGAGGCAGCCAGGGTGACAGTGCAAATCTTGATCCTTAGGCCCACGGGTTCCCTCAGTGTCCCGGCGCCACCATCACATGTGTGTCCTGACTGAGGAGGAGACAGGAAGGGGCCACGAAGGCATGTTCTATCCTGTGAGGCCCACATGCCACCCACCTGGACTTTCATGCACCGCAGGCTGGGCAGTGGGTCTGCACCTGAGCTGCCCTGTCCCCAAGCCCCAACAGGAAAACAGATGTTGGGGGACAAAAGGCAAACGCAGGGCCGGCCCGGTGGCGCACTGGATAGTGCACCGCTTGGGAAGCGCGGCGGCGCTCCCGCCCGAGGGTTCGGATCCCACATACAGACCGGTTCCCGCTCACTGGCTGAGCGAGGCGCGGGAGCAACACCGAGGGTTGCGATCCCGTTGCCGGTCCCCGGTCCGGTACGGGGGCAACACTGAGGGTTGCGATCCGTTGCCGGACACGGAAAAAAGACAAAAGACAAAAAAAAAAAAAAGGCAAACGCAGTCACAGGTGGAGATCAAGTGGGGATGATGAGTGTAGACAAGCCTTGAGGGGTTTTGCTGTAAATAGGGTCAGAGGGACAGGGTGAGAGCTGGAGGGGCATGTGGCATTTCTAGCGATAGAAGCTCTTACTGCATGTTTGCACGCTGATGGGACCGATTCGATGGGTACAGAGAAATGAGAGATATAGAAAAGAGAATTCGAGACTGGGAAGGAGAGAGATGTTGGAGTGGGTCACGGGCGCCGGGTGCTGGTGCCCACGTGGAGGGCTGTCCCCAGGTAGGGGCTGGGGGTGGACAGATTTGACAGTGGGAACGTGGTGAAAAAAGTTCTTTTGATGTTTTTTACTTGTTCAGTTAAAGATGAAACAAAGTCCTCAGCTGAGAGTGCAGGGGCTGGGGGATGGGGGAAGGTGCGAGATTTTGGAGAGCTGGGAGGAAATGGACTCCAGAAATTCCCAAGGAACACTGGCTACCCTGTGTGTCCACCTGGGGTCTGTGGTCATTAGTTTAAAATGCTTCATACTGGTTTATAGGGCTGGGTACCCCAGGGACGACAACTCCACCAGGGCACCTCATGCCACTACTGTTCAACCAGGGAGCCAGGCGATGTTCTCAGATGGCTGCAGGTGGCTGTCATGTTACAAAGGGAAGAGGCTCCTTGGCACTGGCCAACAAGCTGCGGTCATCGGCCACACTGTGCTCCCATGACTGCCCCCTGCAGGAATGAGGGGTCCAACTGTGGTGGTGAGAGCCAGAGCTTGGTCTTAGTGGCTGCCAGGGCTAAGAGGACCCTGAGGCCCAACAGTGTGACAGCAACACTTGAGGGGACACACAGCAAGGCCTGGCAAGGTGGAAGTAATGCCCGGCCTCCAGAAGGGGCAGGGCAGGCTCAGGGGTGTGGGGCTGGGCCACACCAGGCAGGCCTGCAGAGCCAGCTGGCAGCAGGTCTCAGGGGCCCCTGCATAGGGACGAGCCTGGCTCCCAACACCTGCCAGTGTGGGACATAGATGGGGGAAGTAAGTGCTCGGAAAGATGACGAGAGGTTCTCTTCATGTCCAGGTTTTTATTTGCCTGTTATAATTCTGATATTTATGTACATATATATATATACTTCTGTTTTTTGTAGAGGGCTTATCAACAGACCAAGCAAAGGCATTCGGGGAGGCCGTAACTGCTGGGCAGGGCACAGCAGTGCTGGGAGAACCAATCTTTCCTTTTTTTTGTCTGTTTTTATTTTTCCTGGGATGGGATCATCAAAGCTAATTGCTAGAAAACCTAGAAACCACCTAGAGACTCAGACATCTGCCTACACACTAGTGGCATATGGGGAAAGGGTAAGGGACAAACTTTCAAAGTCACGGTGTATTTACATTCCCAAGGCGGGGGGCGGGGGAGGCTAAGGAGGACTGTTCAGACAGCTGGGGGTGGGCAGGGCTGCTACAGGGTCCCAGGATGCGGTGGGCAGTGGGAGGAGGTGTGCCCGCCCCGCACCCCGGCGGTGACAGAGGCCACTTGGATGTTGTCTGGCGGGCACTGAAGGCAGCATGTGTATGGAGCTCCTGAAAGCCGGCCGTGGGCCGGGGTGGGCGGTGGGAGGAAGGTTGTCAACCGGTGTAATGTTGGGGGCAGGGACTCTGGGCTCTCCAGACGGCCTCCCCTGCACCCATGGCCAGCCTGCCCAGCACTCATCCCGGTTGGAGTAGAGATGGCAAAGAAAAGGGAGCTGATGGTGGGGACACCAAGTTCTTTCCCCAGTCCCAGCCAGGGTGGCCAAGGACAGGCTGGGGGAGGGGGAGGCACCAACCCTGGTCCTGAGGAGGCCACCCCTACTTCCTCTGCCCCACACCACAGCCTCTCTGCCCAAACAGGCTGGCAAGGCAGCACCCGAGGGCCCTGATGTGTGGGTGATCTGCCCCAGAGCAGGGGCGAAGCAGCGTGTGCCCAGGAAGGGGTGCAGCTGGGTTTTGGCAATAAAGTGGGGACCAGGTGGTAAGAAGGGGAGTAGAGGCAGTGACTTCCTCTCCTCTGCTCCAACTCAGGCCTCCCAGGGACCTGCCGGAGAGGGAGGGGCCTCTGTCCCCAGGTCAGGGGCGCAGCGCGGGCAGCAGGCTGGGGCGTCTTGGCCTCTGGCTCTCCTGTGCCTCCGGCCCTGGGCCAAGCCCGGCCTCAGCACAGCTGGCTGCACCCCACTATTCCAGGGTCACGGCAGGGTTGATGGGGGAGGTGGCTCCTGAGCTGTCGTTGCCTCCTGCCGCCTCCTTCTCCTTCTTGCCACTGTACTGGCCAATGAAGGAGCCATCCTCGTTGAACTGGACGTCCACGCTGCCCCCGTAATCGGCCAGGCTGTCGTCACTTCCCAGGGGCTTGATGTCTCCGTTCAGAGACGGCTGGCTGCTGCCGAAGGCCTTCTCCTCGTTGTCACTGCAGCGGCAGACAGCAGAGTGGGTGTGGGACGGCTGCTGAGCCCGGGCAGGGGCCCTGGCCAGTGCAAGGCAGTTCCCCACCCGCCTTCCATGTGCTCTGACCCTGGGGGCAGCTCCAGGGATCTCATCCTTGACACACACCCAGGAGGGCAGGCGACATGCACGCACCAGGGAAGCCAGGCTCCTTGCCTGGTCCCCTGGAGATGTATATGTGATCCTGACGGGGACACCAGGCCAGCTGTCAGCCCTTGCGGTGTGCCCACTGTTTGGGGCCTCCCTTGGGGAGAGGGGGCTGGGAAGGTGACAGGCAGGCCCAGAAGCTGGGATGTCAGCGTGGGGAGGAGGAGCTGAGGCATGTTGGGAGCTGCCAGGCAATCAGGGCACAGGGGCACTCTCAGGCATGCACTGTCCGCAGGGGTCCCTGCCATCGGGGTCTGACAGCCCACGGCCACCATCCCCACCTTACCTCTCCAGGGACCTGACGTCATCCGGCAGCACAGAGGAGAGAGAGGGTGAGGTGACAAGTCAGGGTGGGGCGCGCGCAGCCCCGCCCGCCCGCTCACCTGTACTCGCCAAACGTCTCGTCTTTCATGGGTCGCGCCTCGGAGTCCACCTGCGTGTCCTCCTTGTCCTTCACTGGAGACACACAGAGAGGGGCCAGCTTCCTCTCCGCCCCGGCCTAGGGCCCCCGGCCCGCCTGCCCTGCCCGCGCGTCCCGGGGGTCGGGAGGTACCCGAGTACTTGCCGCCCTTGCTGCGCTTGATGAAGCAGAGCGCGAGCAGGATGAGCAGCAGCAGGATGGCGGCGCTCACGAAGCCGATGAACCAGCCCTCGCTGGTGAAGCCGGCGGCCGGGAGTCTCGTGCGGCCTGAGGGAGGACGGGAGGGCAGAGGGCGCAGAGCCCGGGCCGGGGTGAGACTCGCGCGCCGCGCCGGGACAGGGGCCACCCGCAGGGCAGACGCCTCACCCGTGCCGTTGGTCTTGACGGCCATCTGGTGCAGGAGCACCCGCTCCCGCAGCAGGCGGATCTCGTAGTCGGTGTCGGGCTGCAGGTCCCACTGCGTGTACGAGCTCTGGTTGTAGCTGACGTACTGCGGCCGCAGCGGGAC